ATTTAGTTTTCTGAGGGGACAGACAAATCTTTTACTGTCTCATAATTTAAACTATTGGACGTCGCACGTGCCTTGCTGCTGACATGAAAAATTTTGCTTGCATGCTGCATTATTAAAGAAGCAACGTCTTCCATTTACGTGTCGAATTAATTTGCAATTCCATCCTAGTTAATAGCCGTCTTGTCCATTACAGGCGTAATGTGATCAATACTTGTTCATTAGTTAGAATTATGTTGACAGACATAAGTTAGCCATTTAGGGAAGAATGTTCATAATTTCTGATTTATCGTAAAATCCAAGAACATATTAAAGATATTTAATGTACCCTCATAACAAAAGAATGTCTACTTCTACGCAACGTACAGTACGTTAGAAATGTATGGATATGCTGCGAAATAAAACAGCAAATTGTCCAACAGAAAGATCGACTTACATAACTGTTAAATAGAAAAACTTCATCGTAAATCATCGTAAAATCTGCATGTTAACTTGTATTCGTTGTCAATTTCAAAACATGGATCCTTCTTTACAAACGTCAATTCGAATATCAAAAGAAACGTCATCAATTCATCCCCTTTGCTATTTGCACCCATTGCTTATAGTTGGATTTCTATTTGGTATGAACCCAATAAAACATTGCAGTTGCTGCAGTTTTATAAGTCAACACATTATACAATGTGTTGACAGAGAAAAGGTATTCTCTGTACCAATTATATCAAATAGGAATAGAAATCTTTTTATGCTTTACCGTGTTAAGAGTATTCATAAATATCTTTATCGACAGAATTTATGCGAAGTTTTTCACATAAGTTATTCAGTTTTTTATTTCAATTAGATACAGAAATTGTTGATGAGTTTCTTCTGCACTTACGTTAGCATTCAGTGTTCTGCTGTTAAAATATCGAAATTCTATTGGGTGAAAAACTGAAATGGACACCATATGATTATTCATTAACCTTAAGATTTTTTTAATGGTACTGTTTATCATTTTCTCAATTTTGTTCATAGCGGGATTTCTAATTATGGCGTATTTTATGTGGAAAATTTCTTCCATAATGAATGTTGAAAAGCTGCTTAAGTTCATTTTATTAACATATGTTAACAGTTTAACATATGTTCCTATGAGATATTGTAAGCGTGATAAATAGCAGAGAAATTCGAATAAATCATATTTGTGTTGACTTATCTCAAACACCACAAATGAAGTGTATTTATATTCATTTTAATACATTGTATATAAAATATGAAATTCACATTGTTAAGAGAAATTGCTCGCTTTAGTCTAATATTTTAAAATTATCCCAACAAAACTTCAACCGAAAATGTCTTAATTATTCCAAATATTTTTCAAACAAATAGTTATTAGAGAGTTTTCGGCAGACGTTTGCAGCTTAAAACGTAAACGTCAGACGTCGAGCGACGCAATTAGGCAATTCTAGAAGGTTGACAATGGCGTTCGCTACGTCTGGCATGGCGAGTAAAGTTCGGCTTAAACTTCTTCATTTTTCTGCGTTTAAGCTTAAAATTCTGACGAATTTATTTAAAAAAATAATTACTTATACATTTGGAAATAACACTGTAAAGAAACAGACGAATTTAATTTAGAAATTATTTAGTTATTCAATTTTCTTCAAGTGATGTAAAGTGCCTATAGAAATTGCATATATTTGTGTTCATAATAGCTTATCATTATTCTGTAGAAGGTTTGTTCTTTCATAGCATCTTCTATTATCAACGACGTAAAACCTTTGTAAATTTTCTAAAAATAATATTTCGAATTGCATTAGGATCTACATAAGCCAATACTTTCCTAAACAAAGGTACTTTATTATTGATGCTTTCGGTAATACAGTGACTTTAATACAACCGAGAATATATGTTCTGCCAAACTTCAGCTTTAGTTCAAGCTAAAATTTTGCTGTTTTATTAGTTTTAAAAATATTTTTATATATTTTGCGTTAAGTTGTTAAAAATTAAAATTAACTTATTCAAATTTTTTAAACTTTCAAATATTGCATTGAATCGAAAAGCTTTAAACAACGACACTTGAAATTTGTGATGCAAAATACTTTTCTGTAAGAATGATATTTTTCATCGAAGTATAATAAATTTTATCACGAAAATAATAAATTGATAAAATTTTTAAAGTGAAATAAATAAACACGTTTTATAATTAACTATATATAATTATTACTTTTTAAATTACTAATAGTCTAACTTTTATATTCTATATTCGCTTCGTTATTGAAATTAAGAGGTGCTAACAAAACCAGAAAATGTGTTGCTAAATTAAATCACAGCAAACTGATAAATATTTTTTGTTGAAGTTGGAAAAAGGTCTGTGAAAGTTCACAAACCTATAAGAACACTGTTCGAATTCCATCCTGATCGTCATGGTTTATCGTAAAAAGTATTGCTCGAAACACTGCCTTTCATTCGTATTAGCAGACCTCATCGGACAGCCGGATGTCCAGCCGTTAATATGTTGTCCTACAGCTCTGGGCAACTCAAGAATCATTCCAGATATACCGAAAAATCCCAAAAATTTTTGCAGGAGGTCTGTCCAAATATACCCAGCCCGTTTCTGTCCTTCCGATCGTCCTCTTGTAATCAGACAAGACCTGCGGAAATAGACCTATACTGGACTCAAAAACGAAACGAACTAAAAAAAAACGAAAAAAATGCAATACACCATAACTCACTGTAAGTCAGATGTACAATATTATTCCTGATATAATACTCTAAATAAATTAATGATTGTTTTTAATAACCGTTCGGATAACATTGCAAAATATCAACAATATCGAATAAAAAGTAAATTGTATTATAAGAATGAATGGTTTTGTTTCAACCAATAAACATGCATATATACAGCAACGCGACACACGGGCGACCTGCCAAAAGAAGTGTTTTATAAGAGAGTGTCTCCTATTCAGATTTAATTAACGTCAAAAAATCCCATGTGACTAGCAGGTTCACCAGGCGCAAACTCACTATCCGATACCTGCATTCAGTTGTTTTATTCACTCGCCCGCTGGTCAGCCGTAAGAATAAAAGTGAATAAGTAATTTATATTTTGGAATTATTTCTGGCCTTCTGCCGGGTGAAGTTAGTGACAGGAAATAAATTCCATTCGAAGCCACGGAACCATCGTCAAGGTCTCACCCTCTTCCGTGGGTTTTTTGTTTGTCCAGAAACCCCGTAATGAATAGGCAGAATCGTCATTACGGGAAAAACTGGAATGGCGCCATTTCCGAAACAAAAGTATTGCTAATGTTTTTGAAAGTTTGTTGAAAACTATTATTGTAGATTTGATTGACGCATCAGACGAGCAACACACTGTACACTCTTGCTTTTCCTGGTTTGCATGTAGTACATGTTACGT